TATTATAACAAATATATTTATTTTAATTTTTGTTAAGAATATATCAATAAAAAAGATAAAAAGTGAATCTTTTTATAAGAGAAAGAAGATTTAAAAGAAAATAAATTAGTATCATAAAAGATACACTTTAAAATTTAAATCTTTAATATTAATTTCACCCCCTCTAACTGAATTTTCTGGCTCATCCCTGTATAGAACAAAAATAAAGAAAAGAAAAGGGCTCGTCAATGCGTAGACGTAGTATTTCTTACCAAGAACCTCTGAGAGCTTTGAAACCAGTATGCGTAGCGCCCCTATACAATGAATGAGTATATATTTAGCAACAAAAAGAATGAGTTTCATATTTGCAATTTATTGCCTTTATAACCCTTAGCTAATGTGCATGCTCATTGAGCGGATGTTGTTGCTTATTGCTTACCAAGGATCAGATTACCAAGGATCAGTGGCACTGAAAGCGTGAGTACGACTGCCAACCCTACAGTGAATGAGTTATATTCAAGATTAGAAAAAATGAGAGTTTCATAATTACAATAATTGATTCTCTTCCCATGATCTTTAGTGAAAAATATTGCCTTTAACTCATAATAAATAATAAAATTAAAATGACATTAATCCAAATTATAAACACAAAAAGAAATAATATACACATCCATCAATAAGTTTTGCTGATAAAGACACAACATAAAAATAAATTAAGGGAATAAAAATCTCATTAAGTGAACATTATTGCTTACCAATTAGAGAAACTGAGATAAGTAGTCCCCCAACTGGTAACGCTGCAATGAGTGCATAATATTTAGAATTTCAAAGGAATGAATTTTATAAATACATTTAACATAAATGAAGATAAAAAAAAAAAAAGAAAAAAGGCTAGTTGAATGGATGTTACTGCTTACCAATGATGAACAGCATCAGTCGTTCTAGTAGAATCACTGCAATGAATGAATTATATTCTTTAATCAGAAGGAATGAAGGTCCGTACTACAATAATTAATTAATTTTCCATAATCTTTAGCCAAAAAAAGATTGCCTTTAATTCAGCATATATGAGAACTAAAATGAATTGAAATCAAATTATAAAACAAAAGGCAAAAATTAATCATTATGAACCCAACTAAGAAACAAGATATAGCACAAAAAAGAAAGCATATGACTCATTGTACAAATATACGTTGATTAAAACTAAGAATCCAAATAAATTTTCTATGTTGCTTAAAGAAATAACATATATTTGCTACATATACTATTTCTACAAAATAACAATCAAGAAATAGCACAAAAAAGAGCAGACAATGAAAAGAAAAAGGCTTATATATAGATTAAAAAATCATTTTGCATATAGTACCTTTGTAGTGAATAAATAAAAATTCAGGATGAAAAAGTTATAAATAAGTTTTATATGTAAATATACAATAAGCACTTGCGGTGCTAATTGCACTAGCAATGTGCATTATCGACCTTGGCAAGATTTGAATCCCCACTTTGTATGAATAATTCCCCATCCTAATTTCCAATTGCCTTTTAACTTATAATATATGAACAAAAACTTTTACCAAATTATAAAGAAAAGCAAGAAATCCGAAAAGCAAATTTTTGTGCCAGGCATCTACCCAACAAATTCTACAAAGTCATTAGAAAAAATTTCAAATACTAAAAGAACATATACCGCATTTTTCTATAAATGATTTTTTTAAAAATTCTTTCATCTCTTCCCCCGTCTCTTGATTCGTCTCTCCAATCTCTCGAATCATCTCTTGAATCGTCTCTACACATGACTCAAAGCATTGATGGATCATCTCTTTACATGTCTGGAAAAAGCCTTGCATCTTCTTTACACATGAACGATGCTTATCTTCTTTGATGACGTCGGCCTTCACTCTTATGGCTTGAATTACAATTTCAACCGATAAAGAGACCACTTAATTAATAGATTAAATCAATCAAGAAGAACCAAATGAAACAAAAAAGAAAAAAAAAAAGGGAAAAAGAAAGAAAGATTGAAAAAAACACAAATAGGTTGTGAGAGCAGTGAGGAATATAAGATTAAATTTGCTTTTAGCCAAATAATTATTGAATATATTAAAAAAGAAAATTATTATGTTAAAAACTAAAGAGAAAATAGAAGTAGTACTGACAATCATATATCCAGCGTTCCCAAAATGAAAGAATGTTTCCTCTGAAAAATGGGGGTTGTGTTTGAGCTAGTCTTAAAATGAGTGAAATGGAATCCGAAAAACAACTGCGAGATGCCAAATCTGGAAAATGGTGGAGTAGATCGAATACAATATCTGCTATAAAAGATTGTTAGAGAAAGTAAAATAACAACATAACATAATATGAATTGCAAAAAATATGATATCTTGTCACCTAAAATGTGATGAACAAAAAAAAAAAAAAAAAAAACTTAAAAACTCTAAATGAATCAATACTCAAAGAAGATTTATTTAAGTATATTTAAATAATTTTATAGGTAATTCTAATATTTTAAATATTAACATATTCTTTTTTTTTTTTTATCAGCAAAAGAAATAGAATGATATTAATATTAACATATTCTGATTTTCACTTATATAATACCCATAAGGAGACGAAGAATTAATCAATGTTAGAGTTCTTACCAAACATTTTCCTAGTTATACACTCTTGGAGGATGTAGAAGCCACGGTCTCCCTCTAGATACTTTCGTGGAGTCTTACGGTACAGATAGCGTGTCGTGCCCTCATGAATTGTGCTGCAAGCTAATTCAACTGGGATCTTTCCATCTTTGTCTGGGATGGTAAGCAAATTAGGGTTCATTCTAACTAAACTTTGTGCAATTGATTTCCCGGCTCCGCAACGAGCAGCAATGGAAAGTGTCGTTCTCTCAAAATCATCTTTTATTTCTGACTCTTCTTGTGACAAGTTGGACTCGATCAAGTAATCAACAATTTCTTTCTTCCCATCATAAACTGCAAAATGAAGAGCTGAGTACCCATATTCAAATATTCTTGCAGATTTTGCGTCCGAAGTTGGATATTCTGTAAAGAATTTCTTTACTTCCGACAGCTTCCCTTTGGAAATGGCTTTAATTAAGGTCTCATATTGCAAACTAGCAAGATTTCCGGGCCCTGCCAATGACAGTTGTATCCACAATAAAAACAACACTTTCATCAATTCTTCTTTGTATAGAGATTAAAATAAACATTACAGATAAATATGTTAACCATCAAATCTGAACCAATACCTTAAAAAACTCAAACTGGATTGCAGTCTCTCCAATTAACAGATTCGAAAAAGGAGAAGAAATTTAAGCAGAGTTGGAATAGAATAAAACCTGTTCGCTTTTCTAGGGGGTGCTCAACAATGTCATGTTCTACGGGTTTATGCATATCAGCCAATGCATACCAAACATCTTTAGCAGAATTCATCTCCTTTATTTGATCAAACATTTCTTCTCCACATGAAATCTTAATGGCATGCAGTGCTAAAGCATTCTTTCTATTATACTCTCTCCCCATATTTCCTTTTGCAGGCAACTGGCTTAATTCAACAACATCCCAAAGATCTTGACCCATTAAATAGTGCTGCATGAAAATGCTCCACTTCTTGTAGTTATTTCTTTTCAGAACTTCCGGTACAATCACACTTGCATGTGGAGCAACTATTTCCATCTTTGCGCCTATGAAATATTTAATCCCATAAAACAATTTCTGTTAGGGTCAGCATATAAACATGAGATATTTGAACCAAATTGACTATATATATATATATATATACTTACAGAACTTCCGGTACAATCACACTTGCATGTGGAGCAACTATTTCCATCTTTGCGCCTATGAAATATTTAATCCCATAAAACAATTTCTGTTAGG